TTTAGGTGCCCGCAGTTCCGAAACTACTAGCGTCTTCTCCATAATTGAGCCACCGTTGGAAGCGGTAAAGCTTCCTCTTTGAAGTGATTTTTGGTTTTGATTTTGGTTGGAGGATTCGAATTTCCGTTTTGGATATATCGTAATTTTTTAAATTCCACTCTCCATCTTAAGAAAGTGTATTAAAGCGTATTAAAAGTACTAAAACTTTAGAGGCGTGAAGTTCGGAAACTACTAGTGCTGTATCAATTATTGAACCATTATTAGAAGCGGCAAGGCCCCCCCTTTAAAGTGATTTTTGGTTTTTGTTGATCCGATTTTCAGTTTTCGAGATATCGTAATTTATGTGAGAGGTAATTTTTCTAATTTAACTATCTCTGTCTCCGTCTAACGCGTCGAGCCTCCTTGTCGTACGTTGACCGACTAACCGGGTGACCGGATGACGTAACGTTTACTATTTACTACGAGCACGCGCGGTCAACGACCTTGACAAGGCTGTAGTAAGAAAGTAAACAAACGCTTCGGACCCTTATATCTCCGGAACTAGCCACCGCATCGACTTGAAACTAAAATCCTCATATCTCCGGAACTAATTACGCTATCGACTTGTACGAACGCTCGTTTCAAAGGGCTTTTCATCCCCTATCTAACGATCATATCACCTACTATAATTTATGCTGTCTTCCATGTTTATTTTGACATTTAGTTTGACGCTATATACCCAGAGAAGTTTCAGCAAGTTTATTCTATTGAATTTTGTCCATATTTAGCATTCCATTTGAAACGACGAAATTGACCTTTAAATTTCCTACACGCCTACTCTCACGACTATATCACTTCCCATTTGTATGCAAGCGAATCCATTGCTTTGCATACATCTTGGGGAGGTTCCATTTTTTTCATAGACGTCGAGCACTTTTCTCGGTCTGAAACTCAGACTCGCATGTATCGTATTACGTCTCCCTCGAAAATAATGAATATATTAACTTATTAAGTACCAGTGTCCTTTTTGAAATCGTTTACATACTGGTACTAAAATTTAATGTCACGTAACTTTCAAGGTATAAAATTCAGACCTGACAAAGACGCATCATGATCTGTTAAAAAGTTGATTATTTTATTTAATCCAACAATAGGAATAACAGATATTTATTTTTCATTTGTGCTGTCAGTATGATAAGTGAATCCTAAAAATATTAATGTTAGAATTATTCATCTGGAAGCTGGACACATACTAGCTAAAAATAAATGTCTAAATAATTATAAATTTAAATTGAACCTAATTTCTGAAAATAGAGAAATAGAGTAGCCCTTGATGAAGTAATTTTGGTTCAGAAAGATCGATTCCAAAAAACGATACTTCGGTACTTAATGAATGAAATTGTTTTGTTTCTAGTGAGAAGAGACGTAAATAATTCCAAGTCGAGTGCGTTCCTCTTCACCCTAAGTGAGTTTCTGACTTCGTTCTGCGGAGATGCGACTTGCCTTCATCATCGTAAAGAATGATAATTCAATTCTTTACAGCACTGGCATCGATCATGCTTCTTCAGTGTTCCTCGCTGAAGAAGACCTCGCTTTTGGACGTTACTTCCTCGGGGGCGAAGCTGGGAATTTAAATTAATTACATTCAACCTTTCTTCCAGCAGGGTGGTTGCGCAGAAGCCGTAGAATAATGCAACCGCGGCAGTAATAAAATTTTCGTACAGCGAAATGAGCCAGAAACGAGATCTTCCAGGAAATTATACCGAAGTAACGGACAAAGGCTACGATAGAGAACTGCGAAGCGTCCAATTACCTAAGAATTAATCACGAATTCTTTCGCCACTGAATCTCGTTAACTTCCTCCCACTACAGTTTTTGGAACAGGAGCATGGTAAGCGTGGAAAGTTTATATTTTATCGCGGATAATTTATGCGTGGAACAGTGATTCCCAAACTGTGCCTTCCCGCAGACTTACCGTAACAAAAGAAAATTTTTTAAATTTTTATACGATATTAAACTGTCTTTTATGAATACATCGATGCACGCAGTCGATATGAAAAATAAAAACCTCGATATTTGATATTTAACATACGTAGATTGTGAATGAAACTATTAAACTATTATTTGTTGCGTCTGTTTCATAGCTATTTCAGATCGAATTACGATAAATGTAATCAATATATTGTATATTTTACTTAAATGGTATTACGTAGAAATATATTGTTCAGAATTAATACGTTTGAATATGCAAAGCAGTTTGGAATATAAACGATACATTGTGCAGGATATACAGCATACGTTACAATACTTACAATAAAAAATTATTATTCTGTATGAACATATTCCGGTAATTTTTATGTACACTAATAATTGGGACAAAATGTGCAAAGTAAATTCTCGGTTTGTGGCATGCTTTGGCATGTACTCAAAAGAAAATAATTGAATCCCAGTTGAATTCTGCTAACCCATTTGAAAATTTATACACTTGAAAAATAGACTTGCACATTTTTTAACGAAACTATCCAATTTCTTTTTACATAAATCGATCCCTTGATAGACGATTCGATACTTTTATAATTTTAAAACACTTTCGTCAGTTCGTTATTAGTCGTTTAATATGCACAAAAATACAGATGGATATGTTTCCTTATAACCTTTTAATAATTCGAGAGCGAAAGGATCAAACACATTTTTCTCCTGGTGCACGCTACGTCGTCTTCTGGGTTTCTTGGCTATTCCCAGCCATCTCGAGATAACGTATTTAATAAATCAAATAGACTTCTTACCGAGTTCATAACCGTCTTGAAAAACGCTGGAATCGCATGAACTCGGATAACCAGTTCCCGCGGTAGCAGAGATTAATATATACGTTCCTCGCGTGTTCGTGCTCGAAGATAGTTCCAGGATTCGTGCGACAATCCTGCCTTCAACTATGACAATAGTGGTTGTATTCCTATCGCGACGTTAAAAACATATCTCCTTGAAGAAACTCGCGTGACCCTTCTCGACGAGATTTCTTATTATTTTTCACGAGTCCTTTGCTTTCTCTTCCGTTCCAGATGAACGTTGCTTTTGTTTCTGGTCAAAGTACTGCCAAGTATCGCAAAATGAAACCTACTTTTCCATGATACTATACTACGCTATACGCGTCGTGACATCATATTTCTCTTTATAGATTTCTCTAGAATATTTCGCGGCGATACCAGCGTATCAGCAGCCATTTCTCTCCAAACCTTTAACCCATTAATTTTCGCTATCTCGACACAGAAAACAGGCCCCTTCAATCTTCAACGTCATCACGTGTGTACCCACGCGAGTGTACATACATTTTGTAACAGTTTGAAAAATATATAAAAATTTCTTTCGTTTTACTCCAATCTACTATATTGTGTTCTATTCTTATAGAAATTACACACGACGCGAGCAAATTTATTGAAATTCAGTGTATCTGTTTTGCACTAACATTGCACTTTCCATAATTGACATCGTATACTACAAATTATTAATATAATGGTGTCTTCTTTTAACATGTCGTAAGCACAGAGATGACAAACGGAGCCCCAGGTGAACCCCTGCTAGCCTCTGCATGCCACTGCTGGCCTCTGCTGGCCTCTGCTGGCCTCTGCTGACCACTACTGATATATCTGACAACGTATAACGATTACTACTGACTTCTGTCAGCCTCCGCTGGCTTCTGCTGTCCGCTGCTGACCACTCCTGATACTTCCGAGAACGTATAACGATTACTACTGACTTCTGCCAGCCTCCGCTGGCTTCTGCTGTCCGCTGCTGACCACTCCTGATACTTCTGACAACGTATAACGATTACTACTGACTTCCGCCAGCCTCTGCTGACCTCTGCTGACCACTCCTGATACTTCTGACAACGTGCAACGCTTACTACTGGCTACTGCCAGCATCTCCTGGCCTCAGCTGGCCTCAGCTGGCCTCTGTTAGCATCTCCTGACATCAGCTGCCCTCTGCTGACCACTGTTGACCGTTGCTGGCAACTTCTGACATGATATATATGTATTAACGTTTGTGTAATATAAATCTACGGCAATAAATGATACAATTTCAAAGAATTAAAAGTATTCTCATCATTTTTACCTTTCTTCTCCTCCCCAAATCATTCCCTTAGTTATAAGATACGTGCCACCTCTCCGCAAGGCTGCCAACATTTTGGAAAAATTCCGGACACTTTGGAAATCCGGATTTGACCTTGACCTTGACCTTGCCCCAAATTCGAAAGTGGGTCAAGGTCAAAGTCAAGGCCATTCGAATTTTAGAAAAATTCCGGACACTTTGGAAATCTGGAAGGCCTTGACCCAATTTCGAAAGTGGGTCAAGGTCAAGGTCAAGGCCATTCGAATTATAGAAAAATTCCGAACACTTTGGAAATCCGTATGGCCTTGACCCAATTTCGAAAGTGAGTCAAGGTCAAAGTCGAGGCCATCCGAATTTTTGAAAAAATCCGGACACTTTGGAAATCTGGATGGCCTTGACCCAATTTCGAAATCGTCAAGGTCAAGGCCATTCGAATTTTAGACAAATTCCGGACAATTTGGGGTTCCAGTTTTAACCAGAAAAACGGTTTCTTATAACTAAGGGAATGATTTGAAGGGGAAAAGAAAGGTAAAAATGATCAGAACACATAGAATTCTTTGAAATTACATCATTTATTGCCTTAGATTTACATTATATAAAGCTTTAATACATATATATCATGTCAGACGTTATGAACAAAGGTCAGTAATGGTCAGCAGGGGTCAGCAGAGACCAGCAGGGATTGGCAGAAGCAAGAAGAAGCAAGTAGTAATTATTATACGCTGTCAGTAGTATCAGGCGTGGTCAGCGGAGGCCAGCAGGGGCAAGCAGTATCGAATATTAATCGTTATACATTGTCAGAAATATCAGGAGTGGTCAACAGTGGTCAGCAGTGGCCAGCAGAATTCAGCAGGGGCTGGAAGAGGCTGGCAGTAGCCAGTCGTAATCGTTATACGTTGTGAGAAGTATCAGGAGTGGTCAGCAGCGGTCAGCAGAAGCCAGCGAAGGCCTGTAGGAATATTCAAAAGTACATATAGTCATACCCTATACCTCGTATATTTTGCGACACCTTAATAATACCGTGATACCTTAATAATGTTTTACGTAGAATAATCAGGGGAATGGATTTGTGAAACAAAAACTATGCATTTCCATTTAATAAAAGTATACAACTCTTAATTCCACCTGCACTGTTGAATTAGAATCTAATTTAAGGTCCTACAGATACAGAGCTCATCGGGTCATTTACCTTTCTGTTTTGTCATTTTTTCATAAATGCATTAACAACGGAGTTATAGCTTGAAACAGTTGCACGAACAACCCCTTCTGCATACAAAAATAATCGCTGTCGCCGTTATCGTATCATCCGTTTCTCCGTCGAGTAACGTTATTAACCATCGTCGTCAAGGATATTTTTAATCGCGTTTACGTACTTCGAAGCACGAGTTGTCGTGGCCACGAGGTAACTTATCATTGCTGAACAACTCGTTACTCCCTCGAAATTCCTCCGGACCGTGTTTTTACCTCGTACCTGAGAAGAATCTTCGCGATACCGCAACGCTGTAAAATGTTGGCGCTCGCCGCGGAGTTATTCGCCGTCTAATTATTTGCAAAGGAAGAACATACCAAGATTGCGCGAACTTTCGCAGTTCCGACGAGACTTTTATTTGCGCCAATTCCTCTGGCAAGTAATTCTTCCGGGGTAAGGGAGGCTTGCAAATTGGCCCCCGGAACGGCGAACGAATTCGACGCTGGCCCGCGGAATCGTCAAAAAGAAGCAGCCCCGCAAGTTCGCGGCAACAGTTTACGATGATATTCATTTGGCGCCTAGTTGCTCGCAACTTCCTGTGGCCGTGAGCATTTCCGCGTTTGCAAACAACTTGCGTTCGACCGACGGAACTTGGCAAGACCTTTTTCCCCTCCTCGCCGAAGAATGCCTCTGCTCGATATTTAAGTCGGTTGCAGAAATCTTCCTCCCATTGAAAACGAACGGAACAACTTCGAATTCATTCCGCTCCCATCCGATAGCGGCGAGTTCCACAACTCGATAGAGCCCACGATTTAATGAAAAATACTTTTCCTCGGCGTGGAATTCAGTTTCACTCCGACGTAGACAACCATAAACGCACGAATAATTGATTTCGTCGTTGCTCGGATAACGAATCGCCTGTTCGACGCGAACGAAACCAACGATGGCTCCTCCGCTTCTCTTGGCAAACGAGAAAACTTGACGCATTCTGAAACGTAAACATTTTCAGAGTCAGTCTCCGCTCGAAAATAATTTATATTGGAACGTAAAACATAAATATAAATTTAGGCAAGAAGCCATAACAAGATTTGACAGACCCATATGTGCACACTTTCGGAGTTCAAAAGGACCTTAAAATGAACGGAACACAATTTTAAAAGGCACGATAGATAGGAAGAGAGGAAGTCGAGCAGTTCTTCGCGGTGACTCGATGAATTTAATTCAAGAAAAAGTCAAAGGATCGGAGCGAAGTCACGGTTGAGGAAGAAAAATGGCCGACCAAGTGGGTGTCTTCTCTTTCGAAGTTCGAGAACGTTAAGGGGAAGTTGCGTCCACTGCTTAGCTCTCTGCAGTTTTTATCTTCGCGAAATCGCCTAAGCAGTTGGCCCTTACTTCACGGCTGGATGGCGAGTTTCTAAAGTTTCGTCGAAAATCGGGGCCCCGGAAGATGCGCTCCGAAGCGCGAACGTAATTAAAAGTTTCGCGATAAACGGGACCGGTCGACGTTATTTGTTAACGCTTCGCGAATGATCGCGCGTTACTTCGCCATGTTGTTAAATGACGCGAAATGCGCGATAAATTGTTCTTCTGTAGAAGCGAAGAAACGCGAATTAGCTACTCGTGTAGTGGAAAACGATATCGGTGTCTGCGTTTAGTGTTTTCGAAAAAGAAACGTGTTCAAAGATTTACTGATGATTTACAATCGAATAAATATCTTTATATCATTTTTGTCACGTCGACGTTACTATATTTTAGCCAACTGAAGCCAACTTAAGGAGGTAACAACGTCGACAACGTTTACTAGTATTAATCTAGTAGAAATCTCGAGCAATGGTCAGACATGTTACTTGAGATCTACTGATGAATCGCAGATATAAGTGGAACGCATTATTTATAGAAAGAATATGTTAAACACATATTAAACAAATTAGGAACCCATTATTTGTTGAAATATTCTAACATAAATATTTTAAAAAAGTTGTATTGGATTTAATTGAAACATTATTATATTCTTTTTCATTTCGCCAAGTTAATTACATTTGTTCCTTGAATTTCGTTATTATTGACTATGATTCCAACACACTGGTAGCCTCTAAACTGGAATCCTCAAAATCGTTTTTCGTCGAAAGCGAAGCATAGTTTGAAAAAATTCTAGTCCATTTTACTTTTCTGGTTATCGAATGTAACAGAAGAAGCTTTGCTATAGGTTCTTAGATAGATTTTTTCAAAGAATAACGAAGTTTGGTGTAGTAATTTCTATATATAGAGAGCGCCGATATCATTAAATTTGTGACAAAGAAGCTTTTAGTGTTTCATGTTTATGAAAAGAAATATGAATTTATTAACAAGGAAATACAGATAAAAATTTATTCTTTCAGCAAATTTCTACATTCGTTTCCAAGGAAGGGTATATTACTGTCGTCTTGCAATGTTTGCAATAGATTAAATGATGTAAACACGTATCACGTTTTGATGCAGCCATACTTTTAACGCATAATTTACATCGTCGTGGATTCGATACCGATATCTGTAGACTAATCGTTGCACAACAATTTCGTTCTGCATTACTGTCTACTATTTCCTGCATTTCAGCCCTTATTCTTCCGTGTATTATTATCCAGGCCGTCGAGAAATCTCGTATTTACGGTAGATCTTTCTTCGAGAAATAAGAAACAAAATAGAAAGCATGAAATCGACTTCGAAGAATATTTCACGTAAACTGCAGGAAGACGTATGTATGCATTACTTATTTAAAAAATGAACGTATATATGAACGAAACTGTACAACACGAAGAAAGATAGTTTCGATACTCTTCAAAACACATTATCAAAATTAACCCTTTGCACTATAATTACTCTTACTTAGATGACAAAAAAAGAATGACGTATTAAGAAAACGTTATTTATATTTTAAATGCGTTCTTATCAACAACTTTATTTAGAAAATATGTTTAACTTTCGTATAGTTTCTTGTGTCGCGTGGAGGATGAATCGAGAATTTTAATAGAAAATAATATTACCATACCAGAGGTGGCTTTCGTTATATTTTAATTCGATAGAAATTCCAATGTAAATGCAACTCTTTAAAATAAATCTGATATTTTTGCTTGGTGGTAGCGTTCAAGAATTTCGAGAACCGTAACAAATAAAAATTCGTTAGATCTTTCGTTAAATATTCGACGGTGCAGGGTTGCTGGTTTCATGGCACGGTGATGTGCTCCGGCATAGTGGTTAAGAATCACTGCTCTAACCCCACTAGCATCGCTTCCACCCCCGTAGCCAGCAGCAATGCGCCGTAATATCGTTCCACGTGGCATTCCACGGGACTTTCTTGCGAGCCCCAGAAATATTGGATTCCGGCACGAATTTGAATTTCCCCCGGCGTATCGTCGCCGGATATCTCTTACCAGGCGACCCCTCTGTTTTTTCCAAGACCCACCCTCCCACTCGTGCCAACGGGAAAGACGCTCGCGACTTCCCCCGGAAAGATTTTATCGAGGACGTTCGCGTTGCTTGTTCGCGAAACGTTGCGCGGAAAACTATGGACTGCGTTAAGATTTATATTTCAGCGGTACGTTTTTACGAAGGCATTCCTTTATGGCTCTTCGATGCCTTTACGACCTACTCGGACGAATGTTTCGCGGAAACGACACCCTTTAGGATCGATACACGGAGCGTGTTACGCAAGATTGATACGACCATTGTAATATAATGATTATACGTCTTCGTTGCACTTGGGAATATATATCAAAAACGCAACAGAATAAGTATGGTAAAAGGAGACTTCTTTAGTATAAAAGGATTCGATGATGATATAATAAAAAATATAAATTTTATTCTCACTCTTAACTTGTCTTTTGGTGGTACAATCGCTAAAAAGACACGCGACAAATTTTTGGTCGCGAAGAGTCAGAGTGGGAGGAGCAGTTCATCCTATATTTCATTTTCTCATTAAATACACTCCACTTGTCATTATTGTAAAATAAACGTTTCCAAAAAATCACATATCCAAAAACATATTTCATTTCAATCCCGGCAACGCAAATTCGAGCGCGAACAAAATTAATATAAATGGTAGGTATAAAAATAAAATTCACTATGTGTTAAAAAAAGAGGCATACGTTTACACATGAAATGTATTTGGGCGACGAAAGTGAGACAAACAAAAGCCTAATTAAAAATAAAAATAATAATTGCTGATCAAGTATTTCGCGCGACCGTATTTATAGTCGAAGAAATAACAAAATTTAATTTTCACGTGAGTTTAATATCTACGGAAATTCCTAGGAACACGAGCGATAGGGGTGTTGTTGTTGGGAACTGCGAAGCGCTGATCGGTAATCAGAACGCTAAATCGTTCTGTTTGAAGCGTCTGGATGCGCTCGAACGCTCGACGCGATCTCGATTGAGGATCGACAAGGGCGCGTTATTGCATTCCGTCCCTTGCAACGCAACGACAAACTTAAGGCGCTCGGTGTCATTAAGCGATTTCCTTTTGTGCCGGTGCTCCGCCAGGAACAACTGCGAGGGAGCAACTCGATACACCCTTTAACGACGAAGAAGGCCTCACCCCGCGTCTTTGAGAAACTTGTACCTACCCCGGACTTCGAACAATTCGCCGTCCAACTAAACGCGCCTGGGTTACACCTCATCATCGCGAGAACATTAACTGTCGCTGGGAATATCTCGTTAGAGTCAGAAATCGCACCTTCGAGAATAATTGCGAGGCTAACTGCAACGATATGCAAAACCCTTTTTGCGAAACGATTAAATGGCGCGGTATCATTCTCTGGTTCATCCTGGGAAAGATTGGAATGAAACTGAGATGGGATTCTTAGCGGTGGACTACAATTATAGACACCTACCCTATACACTCGTATTCGTGCGCTATAATTCGCTATACGTGAAAAGAAACTTGTTCCTTGGGAATTTTCTTTCCATTTATTTCCACCAAATGTTTATTCCGTACATTGTCTTGTTTCTATTCACGTAATTTTGGTCCAACGAATCCTTTCCCGTTTATTTTTATGAAATGTTTATTACAATGTTGATTTCCATTTACATAGTTTTCTTTGTTTCTCATAATTCTTTCCCATTTATTTTTATCAAATGTCGTTTATCTCACTGTGCTAATTTTAGTTACGAAATAGTCTTTTTTAAATTTTTTAATATTAATTGGCAAGTAATGCCTAACTGCAAACCTGATGGATAGGTATAAGTAATATAAACAGTTTAAAAATCGCATCCTAGTACTGAGAACCTCTCTCTCTCTCTCTCTTTCTCTCCCTCTTGAGAAATAGCAGTTATTACAAATATACAGGGTTTTCGGCCACCCCTGGGAAAAATTTTAATGGGAGATTCTAGAGGTCAAAATAAGACGAAAATCAAGAATATCTCGACTAAGGCTTCGTTAAAGAGTTATTAAAAAATTAAATTACAAAATTACAAACCATTTTGAAAAAATTATATTCAGTTGCGGGGATTAATTACAATCATTTTTGGTGAATAGACATACCCCTGAAATCCTATACAGTTTCAAGAAAAAAATTCATTACCGAAAATTTCATGTCTGACAACTCGTTTAGACGTTCTACTGAAATTTCATGCGTATCTTTAAAACATCATAACTTCTGAATGGAATGGATGATTTTAATGTTTCAAAATGCAAACTACGCGTATTTTAATGGAGAATATGTAGAAATTCTAAGCATATAGGAAAAGTTGTTCCTTAACTCCCATAAAAATGGTCCAATTTTCAAACAGCAATAACTCCTAGAATAATCAATGGATCTCATTGAAATTTAGATTGGAAGTAGAGCTCATGGGTACCTACAAAAAAGTACTAAACAAAATTTCCGTTGGACGTCAAACAAACTGATTAAAAATGAGAAACGAATTTTTAAGAAAAATCGACAGGGGGTTGGTTCGGCGAAAATGAAAACTTTCATATTATTGTGGAAAAATTATTTTCGGTTGCGGGGGTCAATT